GGAAACCGCTCAGTCGGTTTTTCTTATTACTTTCTTTTCCCTGCTTTTCTTTCTGTGGGTACATCGTATATCATTGCCAAGCGCTGGGCGAATTTGAACTGATTGAAAGAGGCTCTATTTCCTGTGAACAATTTGTCCTTGTGCAATCCCGATTGTCACTTGCCTATAACTTATTTAATTTCACATCTCAGCAAATACAGTCTTATTTCTCCAACAGAGACGGCTTCTGATAGCATCACTCTCCTGGTTATTTATCATACATATCTGAAATTGAATTACCTATTGCAGTAATGTGATTTACTCTCAAATGTATACAAAAATGCAACATAAAATAATACTGTTCCAGTGTACACTTCCTCATGGCTCTGTGTGAACTCTAGGTTAGCCAATTCCTCAGAAGTATAGTGACGAAGAATGAATGAATGGGAAGATAAAAGATTAGCAGGGTCATGACCTGAAAATAAAAGAAATTCATTCTCTAAAAAACGTATTCTCAGGCCGGCAGGTGGCATGGTGGTTAAAGGTGCTGGATTCCCACATGGCAAACTGTGGTTCAAATCCTGGACCTGGTGACTTGCTTTCTCTCTCTCTGTCCCTCTCTGATCAAATTGAAATAAACAAATGAACAAATAATAAATTAAATAAAATTAAATAATTCTTTAAAAAATGTATTCTCTTAACATATTTGTTTCACTATGAATCGGGAAGCCAACTCTAGCACATGTGGAAAAACAGAGTTAAAAAATTGAATGATTTTACTTTTTTCAAAACTGTACTATGCCAATACATTCTAAAATTTAGGAAAAGTATGCGTATCTTTGCTCTTGTCAAACAGCAATTAATCTTAGACCAAAATAAAAGCATAAAGAAGATGTTGACAACAATTCCTTTGGGGAAATTTTCTGCTTTTATGAGCCCACTGTTTTGTTAATCCTATTTTAAATGCCATGCTCTAGGTGGAATACAACTTGTCTTTGAAGCTCCCTGTCTTCAATATACCCTGAAATGAAAAACCAGGGTTCCTTAGTTCTAGAATCTTTCCGATGGCAAAGGTTAATTGTGTCAATACTGGCATGTTAAAATAAATTACTTATTACCCACTACCTTCTCTTAGATCAAGTTTCATTTGCTTTGTTCTATTTGGTTTAAGTTATAAATCGAATCAAATTTTGGATAAGCTCATTGACAGTAAAAAGTTATCTATGTATATTCAAACTTACTTATTTTTTGTTTTTTTCTCACTATCGGAAATTGATTTTGGGTATCTGGATAACCAATACCTGAAAAGATCCCTCAAAGAAATAGACCCTGTATTTACTAAGCATACCAAAAGCTGTTTCTTCGAACAGCTTTCAAAGAGCTACTCTGCACCTGTGGGATTGATCTCCATGATGTTACCAATCTGAGCAAGAATTAGAAACAGCAGATTGCCCCCTGTCTACGGAAGATCATTTCTGCAGGGCAGTCAAGTGATGAAAACCAGTCATTTTCAAACAAGTTTCTGCATCTCAGTTTGAAAAGGTTGCTGGGAACACATGTGAAAATGTCTGTGTTGTCAGCAACAGCCCTCAGACAGTGTAAACAACTGAAAGCACTGACATACTCATTTTAGGATGCAGGAGAAACAGTTAACTTTCTCTGTATAAACGTGCAAATCGATGCAGATGGGCGGGTATGTACACGTTCCACATTAGACAGTTAGGCACACTGTTGTAACTCAATTTGTTAGACACCATAATTTCCATCTTAAACATTATTTAACCCTAGACATAAAAACTTGTCACCTTGGTATTATAATTACACCCTAAGCAATATGTCTGAGTAGCTATAGCAACAATTTCAGAAGCCCTTTTAAATATAAATTTGCTATAATTTTAGCACCAGGAATCAGAGGGTTCAATGCAAGAAGTAGAACTGCTATTCTCAGATAGTCATACACAGCCCACTGCAGGAACAAAGTCTTCCGGCTGGGAAACATCATAAAGTAGGGATTGTTTTATATTGCACATACTGATTCATAATCCAAACCTCTTTTTTGGGATATGCTCCTGCCCTTGGTGAACCCTGGAGTTCATGCTTACGTTCTACTATAATGGGACACCTTTGTACCTTCGGCTAGAAATTGAGTAAAGTTCTTCTGCTCCCCTCCCCCATTGTCTTGTGTGTGTGGGGGGGGAGCCTCAATTTCAATGACTTTATAACCTAAAAGGGGGGAAAAAAGGATATTTGTAACCCTTAAAAATGATCCCCAAATGAATTATAACTATGTAACTATTAGGTCATCATGAACATCAGGAAAGCGATGACATATTTTTGCATTTTTATTTGTTTGTTTGTTTTCTTTTTAGGGGAGGTTTTTGCTATAGGGCACGTGCGCTTGCCAGAAAGACAGAGAGAGACAGAGAGACAGAAAGCGAGAAATCACCCCCTAGGGGCCAACTCTGGCCACACCGCAATCCCTTCTCCTCCATTCTCCTCTTAGGATCTTGGGCGCACACACACATGTGCTCAGTGTGAGTTTAAGCCACTGGGTCCAGGACTCAAACCACGGTGAACTACATGGGAGTCCAGTGACAGAGCCTTTATGCTAACTGCTGGTCCCTTTTTGCATGTTTTTCTATGCCAAAAAAAAAAAAAAAAGTCATGACTTTCCCCATAACCCAATGTATAATGGTTTCAACAGGCAGCTTTCTCTCCAACATTTAAGAGTCTCTGTCACAAACCTCAAGGACTGGCATTTGGTATTTTGAGCAACCAGGACCTGACACAGAGAAAGGAGGTAGGCTTTACTATTTGTCCTCCAGTAAGATGGTAAAGTGCTTCTAGAGCAGTTCTGATTCTGTCTTGCTGCAGCTGCACAGATGGGGCTGCAGAACACCCAGGCACCCTGGAAACTCCTGAAACTGTGCACAAAGCTGCAGGCGTGCCCTGAGTCCATGGCCAAGGAGTCAGGGCAGCCCTGGGCTGTGAGTTCCTGCTTCCTTCTCTCAGACACAGCGAAGAAATCATTTTAAAAGGAAACAGCAGTGAAGGACACAGGTTTATTTTGACCAAATTCTGAACATCTCAAAGACTTCATTTGGGCAGACAAGTTTTACCACCCAGGAGACCAAAGCCTTTGCTCGCAGCAGGCATCTCACAGCTGTTTGCCATTAAAGCAACCAAATAAGTTAGGGCAATTCATAAAAGGCAAAAAATGATGAGCACCATCCATCTCTCCCTGTTAAGAAAAGTCCACAGGCTAAAAGCTATCATCAAAGTGGCCACCAGCTCATCAAAACCAGGGTTCCATGAGTACACAAATACCTCTTGTGATTGCATGCAACTCCATGGATGAACTGTTGTCACCAAAGTTTTGACAAGAATGGATTCAAGGAAAAAGGAATGTTTCAAGTGGCCCAAACAGTTACCCTTAGAATTGATTTTTTATGAAAAAACAAACATGGGAAAATAAATCTTGGGGGGGTATATTTCTTTGGGGGTAAACACAAGACAGTCAAGAAAACTAACTTCAGTCATACCATGAGTTACTATCTCTTTAAGTGAATTTAGCAATTGGTCGCTAAAAGGATAAACTTTGCCCCCTTTTAAATAATTAACTGGCATTAATCAGCCAATCATTTAGCACTCTTAATTAGGTATTGAAAACCCTTCGTTATTAAAGTCTGCTTTTTCTTTTTCTGTGCCCTCTTATGAAAGACTAACTCTGTAATTAATAACATATCTCCTATTTCCAAGCCCGGCCATTATAACAGAGCTCTTCTGGGTGAGCTTTGACATACAATTGTTTCTCTTTAAATAAAGGCTGCGACAGTCCTTTGAAACTCCTGGGGTTTTAACCAGTGCGAGTCTGAGGAGCAGGACTGTAGGTCAGTATTAAGCATTACCGTTATCTTCGCTCCATGTCGAGTTCTTCCTGGGGAATACAGTAGTCACAAGAGGGAAGACAGCGGACAGGAACGCGTTTGTCTCCGCAGGGTACCTTTCTACTCCGACCACTGGAGTCTGGCAGCCACTTCTCCCGTCCCTCCTTTCTCTGTCAACACCTCGCCTTCCCTATCTCTGACATTACTGCGAGACCCGCCTGGCCCTGCTGCTCGCGGACTGGAACCGGACTCCCTCAACCCACTCAGGACCCAGCAACCGCCTGTAGCATCCTCTCTTGGAGCTCTTGGAGCGCTCGCTCGCAGCGCCCCCTGCCGGGGGCTCCCGGAACGCCCCGGGCGCAGGAAAGTTAAATCCCAACTCTGGGCAGCCGCGTCCAGGTACAAAGCCGAAAAGGGCGAGGAGGTGAACGAGCTTCCCGCCAAACTCTGGGCCTCAAAATTTGACCTCTACGCTGGTCCCTGGGCACCGGGGAGAGACCCAGGGCTTACGCCCCTCCTCGAATGCTCCCCTCGAATCTCGGGAGGAGCAGTTCCCTCTGGCCCGGATCTGCTCCAGTACCGAAACCCTGTACCGGGGAGTGCGAAATCCGTGGAGCTGCGGGGAGATGCCCGAGGAACGGCGCTCGCCCGGCCGCAGCTCACCAGCCAGGCGGCTCCCCAGGTCTCTGCACCCCGCTTCAGTGTCTCTGTTAACCCGAGCGCTTGGCGAAGTTGAGCCAAGTCCCGCTGCCCCGCGGTGCAAACACGCGCCGCATCGCCGCAGTAGCGTGAGCAGGAGCCCTGCCCGGGCGGGTGGGCGGATCCCGAATCGCGAAGCCCGGGCCGCGAGCCCCCAGCGTGGCTGGCGACAACGCCAACCCGGACGCGCGCGGGGTGCGCGCACAGACCTCCTCTGCGCACCGCTGCGAGGTGCTGGACAGGGTCGAGTCTCGCCCGCCACGGCTCTCCCGCCCCTTACCTCAGCACGCTCAGACCTCGGCCGAAGCAGCGACACAAACTTCCAGGTGCCCAACCCGGACGCGCGCGGGGTGCGCGCACAGACCTCCTCTGCGCACCGCTGCGAGGTGCTGGACAGGGTCGAGTCTCGCCCGCCACGGCTCTCCCGCCCCTTACCTCAGCACGCTCAGACCTCGGCCGAAGCAGCGACACAAACTTCCAGCTGTCCCCTAGCTCAACTGTGCGCGCCTCCGCACCGATGCCGGTTCCAATCCTGTAGGCGCCACCAGCGGGATGTGCCCGCCCAGGTGCCCGCAGATCCGCGCTACTTGAGACTGACACCTCCCGCCAGCCGACCTCTGCAGCCCCCAGGTCCCGGCCAGCAGCGAGAGGCGGTCAGGGTCTCTGGCCACCGCCTCGCAGAGAGCGGGCAGGGGTTGCTCACCAGGCGTCGGGCGCACTCTTCATGCCAGTCATCCAGCGCACGGGGGCCTGCGACTGCTCCAAGGGTCCTCTTCGACGCCCGGCGAGGGAAGTCGAGGCAGCAGTCGCCTCTGCCCCCTAACACTGTCCCAGAGCCACCCCTATCGCTCTCTGCGCTCCCCGCTATAAGCGCTGGGCCGCCAGGCGCACTGTCCCCCGGCGCGCAGCTGGCCAGGGAGTGACAGGTTCGCGCCCAGCGGAGTCTATGAAGGAGGTGGCAAAGTTGGGTGCCCAAGCTAGCTCCGCAGGGAAGCTGCGGGTGGAAGTGCGGAGCGCCCTGGGATGGGCCAGGCCGCCCCCGCGCAGGGAGAGTGGAGGGCCAAGGCCGGGGCTGGACACCCGCGGCGGCCGGCTGTGCCCCCCCCCCCCCCCCCCCCCCCCCCCCCCCCCCCCCCGCCGCGCGCCTCCTCCTCCCGCTCCTTTCCCGGGTGAAACCCGAGCGCCCCACCCCGCGCCTGACCTCCCCGGGCTCCTCCCAGACCCCGCCCCTTCCCGGGACGGTACCCGCGCCGCACCCCTCAGCGCCCCTCCGCGCCCCGGGCACCTCACTGCACCCGAAGGCCCCACTCCGGTCTTCCTAGGGCGAGTTCCACCCAGCGTTGACTTTTCGGGTGCGCCCTCCCCCTTCTCGCAGAGACCTTCCGTGGCTCCCCGCCCCTGTCCCGCCGCGGAGACGTGGCTAAACTGGTGGGGGGATGGGGGTGCAGTATAAAGGGCCGGAGGCAGCGCCCGCAGAGCCCCGCGACGTGGCGCGCCTAGTCTGCGGCCCTCGGCTCCAGGTACGTGCGCGGCCCTTGGCCCAATCCGGCAGGGTGGCGGGGTGGGCAGGGGCCATCAGGTCCTCCGAGAATCAAAGTTTGTGTGTTCTTTTTATGTGTCACCCTCATGCGTGCAGAGTGGGACTCTCCCAAATGGGAGAAGCCCTGCGTTCTTGGAGAGCGATTTGGAGTGAGCCTTCCAGCTATTTCTGTGGGGTTAAATCAGGGAAAAGACCAAATCTGAAAAACCAGGGAGGCAGGAAGAGGGGTGCCCAAGGAGTCAGGCCAAGGGTTAAGACAGGAGCCATAAGGACAAAGTCAGCCTGTCCAGTTCTGGGGCAAATACGTTTCACTTTTGCAGGATCTTTGAGCCTTGCCCAGGAAGTGCTCAGGTGAGAAGTTTTTAATGGAAAAGACGGTGAAGTTCCTTTGAAAACTTCGGTCCTCTCCTCCATAGATACTTTCTTGCAACTCTTCCACTCCTAAGTGAGGGGAGAGTCGGCCTCTCTGAGTTTAAAACTGCGAGAAGGGCAAATGGTAGTTACAGGAGTGTAAGGAGCGCCCGGACTTGGACTGGGAGATTTGCGTGGCCTTGTGGGACTTTCCTGGATGGGGATGAGAGAGAGTGTTTGGGCCCCTGTATTCTCCATCTGCACCTCAGAGGGTGGCTGCAAGGTGCCCTTCCTGCGGTGACATAAAGGCAGCCCAGTGCCCGCCAGCATCTCACAGCCGAAGAGCGCTGTGGATGGGATTCACTGACGCTGGGGTGGGCCTGTGCTTCCACAGCAGTCCCCTTGAGCTCACCGGTGAAACCCAGAACCAGTTGCTGGCTGAGCCATAGCTAAGAAGTAGCTACACAGATCCAGAGAACAATGAAAACACCAGTTGGTCTTTACTTTCTAGGAATAAAAAAAAAAAAAAACCAGAATTAAGTTAAATCAATTCTGAAGGCTTCCACAGAAGCCTAGCCCATCTCCAAAAGCCCAGGCTCTGCCACTGGTGGCCCGGCTGCCAGGTAGTAGGGCCTCTCTGGGATTTCCTCTATGACCTCGGGAGGAAGTGTTCGGCTGGGTGGGCCTCCTGGGGAAGCCGTCCACCCTGGGCTGTGGTGGGGCTTCCAGCCTGGTGGGGCAGCTGCTGGCTCCTGGAGACTTGAATGAAACACTGAACAGTTCTCTCTTCCATGCGTGGCACAGGGGCGCTGGCTCCATTCCTGACATTCCAGTGCTTTTGCCCACGTGGCAGGAAGGCCTAGGAGAGCCTGGCAGGGAGGGGCTGACCAAGGTCTGGCCTGGTTGCCTGGGGTGGGGGGTGCCTTACTCTTGCACCCTGCAGCCTTCAGATGGACCTGCAGAGCGGTATGGTCAGGGACAAGGGAGGCGGAAATCAGGACCAAAGTGAATCGGGCTGATCCTCATTCTAGCCCTCAGTTCTGCAGTGCAAGGCTGCACACTTAGGAAAGAAGCAAGAAGCTTTTGACATACAGAGGTAAGCTGCAGGAAGGAACTAGCTCTCTAGGCCCTAACCCAGGAAGGTGGATAATATTTAACTTGATAAATTATATAACTTGTCATGTGTGCAGGGAATGGAGTTCAGTTCTGCTGTTTGCAGGCTATTCCTGAAGCATCTTTAAGGCTCTAGTATTTCGTTGATAATGATTTACAAAGAAATGCTAATAAGCAAGGAAAGAAGCTAAATTATAATCTGGAGTGCATCCTTCGTTGGAAGCGAGGACCTGCCTAGAGGGCCTGATTCATGCCTTCTGACCTGGGGGAAGTTCTTTCACTTTCTGAGCCTGGGTCTCTTCATCTGGAGCTTGCACAGAGCTGCCTGGCAGGGCTGTGGGCTGGCCATGCAGAGGAGAGAAGTGCTGATTTATGGAAAATACCCACCCAGGGCCCAGTGCGTGGGCAGGCGCTCTACAAACAAAATTATTTTATAACTTCCACAGATATTTCCCTTTTCTAAATGAAATTTCTTTTTTTTTTCCTTTGAAAGGGCCTTGCTCACAAAGGAACTACTCACATTAAGCTGTTTCTCATCACATTGTAAAACTAAAGATGATCATTTTTAGACAAAAATGTTTAGTCTTTTTCCAGATAAAAACATACGCTCCCTAAACTGTTTTTGGTGAGTCTGGCACACAGCACAAAGGAATAAAGAAACAGCAAAATACTCGGTGAAAAGGATGAATTCTGGGGCGCTGATTACTGTGACTTGAAAAACGCCATCCATTTCCTGATTCACCATCATCTCTGTTCAGAAATGTGAAGGTCTCTTAAATCTCTGAACTAATTAACCTATTTTGTCTTGTCTTCCGTCCCTCCTAGTGCTTGGATGTCAGCCGCAGGGTGTAATGGCACTTCAGATGACAGGAACAGGGAGGGCGCTGCAGAGAACATCCGTGGAAGAGGTCCAGATGCCGCCTGAGGCCAGACAGGGCACAGCGGTAGAACACAATGCTCTTCGAGGCAGTGCCACGTGGGAGAGCTCCTGGTTCAAGTCCAGAGACGTCCCTGAGTGTGCTGAGAACACGCGTGCCCATGATCCGGGACTGATGGGGGCTGGGGACAGAGCATAGTCTGGGCCCTCTGAGGTGCGCTCTCTCTCTCTGTCTCTCCCATTCAAACTTTTAAAAGGAAAAGGATAAGAGATGTTGGGGAGGAAATGCTCCTACAGGAGCTAGCAGGTAGCATGGTAGTTAAGGATCTGGACTCCCACACAGCCAACCACGGTTCGAGTTCTGGACCCAACAGCTTACAAATCACACAGGGCGTGGGATGTGTGCCCAAAATCCCTAGAGGAGAATGGAGGCGAAGGGACTCTGGCCTGCCTCCTCCCCGGGGGGTGTGGGGGGGTCATTTCACTTTCTCTCTCTCCAGTGAGCATAAGTGCCCGATGGCAAAAACCTTTTTTTAAAATGCTGTTATGGATCTCAGGAGACTTTCAAGGGAAACCTTAATCTCTATGATCTTGAAAATGTGACAAGATTGTATTAAAATTGTGAAGAAAACTCAGTCCATGGAAATGACCTCTTGACATTTACATCCAACTGGATGTCCCTACAGATGAGCCAGACAAATCATTTAATCACTGAGGAGTGCTCACTTTTCAATCTGTCTTCCTTCTTTTAAACCCATGGCATTTAAGATCTGGAAAAAACTGTGAGGTCATCTGATAGATTCTATCAATGTATTTTCTTAACATGGCTGAACACTGGTCCACAGACGTGCAGTTAGACATCTCTCTAGGATTACCTTTTTGTTGATGTACTTTAAAATATCCAGGAGCCAGTAAGTGGCTGGAGGTTAAGGCTCCAGACTCCCATATGGCCAACTTTGTAGTTCAAGTCTGCACACACATACATCCTATAGCAAAAAAAAGAAAAATGAAAAAGAAAAACTAAAAATAAATGTAGTAAAGTATTTGGAAGACTGACAGTTGTGGCCACAGGAGATGATGGCCATGGTGCACTGTATAGTTCTGGAAGGTTTCAAGGAGTCATCAGCCCTCACTCCAGTCTTTTGAGCTTCACCAAAACCTCTTTAGACAAGATACATCCACTGTTCCTTATTGTAGCAGCCTAGTCACTTGGCAATGTTAAGCAGGCCAGTTTTATTTTAAAAAGAGCACCCAGAAACTTAGGAGGAAAATAGTTACAGCATGAATAGGAGTACATATGGTTGGGCACGGTGTAAGGTGCAGGTCACTGATTTGTTAGCTGAAGGACAAGGCAAGTCCCACTGCCAGTCTGTGCCCTGGAGGCCGTGTTCCCTTCTCTGAAGTCTGAGTTTCTGCTCAATCTCTCCAGGGCCTGCCTCCCATTCTCTATGTCTGGTCAGAAGGATGCCACTGCCCCTTGAGTGATGGAGGTGGACACAGAAATACTGGCCTTCTCAGCTCTGATGAGTTCTGCTCACCTTCAAGTGCCCTTGAATTCACTCCACAAGTGAGAACCACATTCACTATCTCGTGGCCATGTTCCAGCCTCAGCCTAGTTCCCTTCCAGGAGCCATGGCACTCACTCAGGGACCCACCAGCCAGACCAGACCAGAGCTCAGAGCGTCACCATAACCACGGTGCTCACTCTGTACCACAAGCAGAGACACAGCTGTTATTTTCAGTGGTTACTTTTTCCCAGGAGACTTACATGATTCTTCTAACTTTCAGTGAGGGCCTATTAATAAGACATTACGGCCTACTTCTCTGGTTGTCCATAAAACCAAAGTATTGTAGAAATCTGGAAGTATTTTATCTTTTTTTATTAAATTTCTGCATGTATTTTTTAGCAGCCCAGTTTCTTCAAAGTAAAGTTGGTGTACTCAAAACAACCCAGGTCATCTTTCATAAGTATGGTATAGGAAGAGGAAAAAAAAAACAAAAAACATGCTAAGTCTAAAAAGGTTTTGGAATATCTAGAAGAAATACAGATGGTTTGTGACATGGAGATAAAACATCCATATGATTTTCTAAATATTATTTTCTGACATGGAGCCATGTATATATCTTGTGCGTCTATAAATGAAGAATGACAGTATTTTAAATGTGTGTGTGTGTGTGTGTGTGTGTGTGTGTGTTTG